GGGAAGGGAAAGGGGAAAATCTAGATGGAGACAAAACAAGTGACTTGACAGGAAAAAAGAAAAGAGAAAAGTTCTATTTAGGCATTAAAAAGAGTTAAATTCACCAGGCAAACTGTCTCCCCAAGTAACTGCCAATCTCCAAAGTCATCCAGTTTTTCAGCACTGTCTTTTGCACCACTTGCCCATTCATTTTTGTTTTAGCGTTTATTTCATAAACTACAATGACTGGGTTCACAAAAATAAACCAGATCACATCATGGCATGATACAGTTTGTAAGCCCAGACTAAGTATTACTTTTTTCTTTCTCTCTGCCCAGCCCCAAATTGCCCAGAATGGTGAGGTGGAAGGTTGACTTGGGAGATATGTTTGGGAATAGTACATCTGGGTTGTTCAGGTTCTGTATGAGCCGTGAAGTTCTAATTACTCTGTTTCTTTCTTTCAAGGAATGGCGGAGATCCTGCCAGAGCGCTGTATACCAATTGCCAAAAAAGAGCTGCTGTACTGGGGGCCTGTGGGCTTGTGTTGCTGGTTATGTGACTTGGTTTTCATTGATCGCAAGAAGAAGCACCAAGCCAGGGACATCATAGACCACCTTGCAGAGAGGATGCAGCAGGAGGATGTGAGCCCTGAGAGAGAAATGTGGGAATATGGGAGAAGCATGAATAATGGGAGGGGTCCAAGTACTGCTGGAGAACTGCTGCAGCTGTTGGTAGGGATGTTCTTCAAGGGGAGCGCCATATACTTTGCATGTAGAAGATCCCAAGTTCAATTCCTAGTATTTCCAATTAGAAGGAGAAGGTGAGAAGCCAGTTTCCCACTAAGATCTTGAAGAGTCATTGTCAGCCAGAGAAGACTGGACTTGGCTAGATGGACAAATAATTTGACCTCATATATGGCAACTTCCTCTTCTCTAAGTGGCTTTCCCACCCTCCTTCAATGGGTGATGTTGGACTTCAGTCCCTTTTAATCCCCTGCCAGGATGGCCACTAGCCCTACTAGTTGGGAATCATGGTTATTTGAGGTCCAACACACCAGGACAGCAGCTGCTTGGGGAAGACAGTCTTAGGATTGAAATTTAATTTAATAATTTTAAAAACCTGCATTCCATGTGGAATTAAAACAAAGGCTCCTGAGAGCCCAAATTACCTTGATCTTCTTTTGTCTGCAGAAGGAGCCCTGAGATCAGGAATGCTCTTATGGGCCAAAGGGGGGAAATAGCATTTTTAAAGAGCCATTCGCTTGTTGAGCCTACTCTGCTCACTTAACTAACTTAACTTAATTTAACTTAACTGGAAGGTGATATAGGGGTGTTGAAGCTTTTAGGGATAAGCGGATATAATTCCCTCACTCTTATTTCTCCCCTTTACTATTATTCTCAGCCTAGTTCCAATACTGTTAATGGAGAAGGGAAGCTAATTTGTTACCATATTGCTATAAAAATCACCCCCCTCTCCTCTTCTTTTATATGTGACCCTTAAACAATTAGTCACTGAATATATTATACATCCCCATGACCACACATGGAATGATCCAGTGCATATCAATGTATCTGAGTAGTGATTCTGTGTCCTTCATTTTAGTGTGCTTCTAAATACAACCTGAGTGGATGTCAAAAATGCTGAGCAGGATTACATCCAGTTAGTACTGGGATGGGAGACTGCCAGGAAATCCCAGGGTTGGCTAGACTGCAAAATTAGAAAAATATCCCAGAAGGTGTTGGCAAACCATTTCTGTACCCTGCTGCCAAGTAAATAACATGAGTATGTCCATGTAGTTCCCAGAAGCTGAGCTCGACTTGAAGGAGACAATTCTGCCCTACTGTCTCAATTTTGGCTCTAAAACAGCTTTCTCTCTGTTTGAATAAAAGACCAATGGGGCGGAAAAGTGGTTTGTGGTGCTTTAGGGAGAGTAGAGTAGAAATGGATGTGTGGGAAAGTTTACTTCAGAGGGGCAAACGGACAGTGCTGGGGATTGCTAGTATGGAAGCAAAAAAGCATCCAAGCACCTGGGTATCCTGAAACCTGGAAGATATTTTCCCTTTCCCCCCACCCACCCCCCACCAATATCCCAGGCCTTTAGCAGATGCAGCCAAATGTGGGAAGGCAATGACAGTCCAAGCCTACCACCATGGGACTGAGCCCTTTCTGGAGTCACAGATCTGCTCCTAGAGGGGAAAAATTAGATTAAGAACCTTGGACTTGGCCCTCATTTAGAACTTAGAGACGGGTGGGTGAGCTGGGGGCATCACAAAATGGCTGCCACTCTAGCCAGGGTCAATCACTAAACATCTGTTGACATTTACCAGAAGATGAAAGACTTACTTCCCTCCCCACAACCCCAGATGATTTCTAATACCCTTGTGGGTCTTTTGCAACACATGTGTTTCTATTCAGTGTCTTGTTTTGAAAGAATCTTTAAGAAATAAAGTAGGGTGGGGAGGCTGGCTGACACCAGTTGTGGTATGAGAGTATTTCATTCATAGGCGGCATGTTGCTTATTCCTGGAGTAAGAGGAGGAGAAAAGAGAGGAAGTCCAGCTACTTTTGGGAAACATTAAAGAGGAGTAACATGGCAGCCTTTTCCCAGGCTTCCTGACCTTTCTGAATTCAGCAGGAAAGTCTGCAGAGAGCCTCTGCTTGTCTATGCTTAAAGGCAAATGTCTCCAAGAGCCCTGTTTTATTGGGAGCCCGTCATTCAAAGGATCCTTCTTGGGACTCAAGCCCCTTCTTCACTCCTCCTCTCCACCATTTCCTGTTCAACCTGGGGCAGTTAGGGTGGGAAGCAGCAGATTGAGAGGATATGCATCCCACTCCTCTCCTGGGTAGTAGGGCACACACTTTAGAGAAAATAGCTGAATAAGGGTTGGAATGTTTTCAGAAGATAGGCTGCACTATTCGAATTGTAATTGGTGGTCTTTTTGTTTTCCCCTCCTGTCTGCTTGCTCAGCTGAGGATCTGGGTTTACCCAGAAGGCACCAGGAACCAAAAGGACACCATGCTTCCCTTCAAGCGAGGGGCATTTCACTTGGCTATAAAGGCTCAGGTAAAAAGTTCCTGATGATGAAGCTGATGCTTTGTGAAAGGGGGAAGTTCTGACTCACATGTCAGGTGCTCTCATAAACACTACTGTTCAGATTTATGAATGATTAGTGAAATACCTCTAAGGAATTGTGAGTCTGTATGAGTAAAATGAAATTGCTATAGATTGCTTTGTTTCTGTTCTCTCCTCCTTTTCCTTTATCCATATACAATGTATTGATAAAAACACCCTTGAGCAGAAATAAAGGCAAAGATGTCTTCGAGTGGGGCTTAACTCCTGATGACTTTATGGACAAATCTTGCAATTTTCTTGGCAACAGTACAAAAGTGGCTTAACTTTGCCTTCTCCTGAGGTATTTTTTGACTTCCTAGCCTAGCTTACAATCCTGGGACTTCTTAGTGGTCTCCCTTCCAACTACTAGCCTGAACTACCACGCTTAGCTTTCAAGCCTACACACAGTCATCCAGGTGCTGCTGAGGCATACATGTTAAGGCTGTGCACACTTCAAAAAGTATTTGGAAGAAGTGCTTTGGAACTTGCACAAGTGTAGCATCTCTCTTCATTAAAGTAGCACCTTTTTTCAGGTTCATGTGGGCTATTTTAATGAATAGCAGAGAGGTACCATGCTTGAGTGAGATCTGAAAAATTTCTTACTAATCATTTTTGAAGCATGCTCAGCCCTGATATACATGGCAACCTATATAAAAGCTGAGGATTCAGTAGACAGAAATGTGTTATAAAAAATCTTGTGGCATTTCAACAGCCAATACATTTCTTATGCTTGCTTTCCCAGCCTAGTGACCTCCAGATGTGGCCTCTCATAATTCCCACTCAACATTGCCATAATGACTGGGAGTTAGAGGGCTTGTAGTTCAAGCCATTAGGAGAGCGGTGGTTTAGGGAAAGCTCTCACACAGTGTAAGTTTTATGGACTAGCACCCACTTCATCTAATACATGAAATAGAATTAATTTCCACAGAAAATGGGGAAATCAGGAGAATAATTGACTTTCTGATCCTGAAATGCCTATTCTAATCAGTTACTAGTTCCATCTAAAAGCTTTAAATTCCTGTTCGGAGAAGGCTTAAACTAACCTTTCCTACCTGGACATTTTCCAGATGTATTGGCTCCAACTTCTAGAATTGTCAGCAATGGCTACATTGGTGAAGGAATTCTGGAAGTCCATGCATCTAGAGATACCTAGATTAGTGAGAGCTGTTGTAAAATCTGTGGCTGCAGAGGACTGCCACAAGGGAAGAAAAAACTCATGATGTATTTCTCCAAGATTCTACCTTTCAACTTTCTTTTATTCTATAGACCCCCATTGTCCCCATTGTGATATCTTCTTACAGGGATACTTACAGTTTCAAGGATAAGAGATTCAAGCCAGGTAAGTCTAAATGGCAGAGGGCCATGCCTATTAGTTGCCTAACTTTTTTCTTTTTGCCATTGGTTTGCTCTGTCTTGCTTAGAAAGTTAAAAGATAGAAATTTATGACAGAAACTTTTTCCTTCATCACTTTCCATGTGAAGTGATTCATGTTTACTCAGGTATCAGTCCTGCTATTTTTAGTGGGGCTTAAGCTGCACTTAGGTAGAAGGAGAAAACCTGATGCCCTTCATTGTTCTGGATTTCAATTCTCATCAGTCCCATCCAGCATAACCAGTGCCAGAGGACTGAAGTCTAAAACATATGGAAGGTTTTTCAGTACATGAACCTATCCATCTACCCACCCATTTTGATTATGGTGGTATACAAGTTTGATAGAAGAATAGTTCTGTCTACAGAAAGGAATTTATCCCCCACTCCAAAAGGTTAGAGATTTGTATGACATTTCCCCATGGTAGTTTATATATTTAGGTGCAAATTTAGAAACTTTTGCTTATAGATTAAATAGTAGTGGCAATGACAATGCTTGTGAAATTTGGATTATCTACAAATATGCAAGAAATAGACAACAAATAGATGCAAATAACCTAGACTCTCCTGCCTGATAACAGATACCTATCATATCCCCCTACCCCCAAATGTACTTTTAATTCCCAAGATCTAGTTCACTTCTGTTTCTGTCCTGTTACATATCCCAGAAATCTCTCTCTCTCTCTCTCTCTCTCTCTATATATATATATATATATACACACACACATACAGTACTGTGCAAAAGTTGTAGGCAGGTGTGAAAACATGCTGTAAAGTAAGAATGCTTTCCAAAATATATATTGTAATTGTTTATCAATTTATCAAATGCGAAGTGAGCGAACAGATTGTTGTTGTTGTTGTTTAGTCGTTAAGTCGTGTCCGACTCTTCGTGACCCCATGAACCATATTGCGCCAGGCCTTCCTGTCCTTCACTGCCTCCCTGAGTTTGCTC